ATCCACCCGCCTTGGCCTCCCAAAGTGCTGGGATTACAGGCGTGAGCCACCGCGCCTGGCCAATACTGTGTAATTTTTATCCCTCCCTCTCTGGTGCTGGAGGAGGCAATTCCTTCACTTTTATTGGAATCTGAAGAACATCTCTTTCTTTCTTCACAAGAAGCTTGTAACACAATAACTACCATTTATCAAGACCCTGCTGAATGCTTGGATCTATGCAAATAAAATTTAATCTGATCTACAGAACAACTCTATAAGGTTAGTGGGTATGTCTATTTTATGGATGGCTCAGAGAGGTTAAGTAATTTGCCCAAGTTTGTACAATAGCAAGTGTCAGATCAGGGACTTGAATCCCAAACCCATGCTTTTAACCAATGTGGTATGCTGCCTCTCAGTTTCTCAAGGCTGCAAGGAAAGGGTTTCAGGTTAGCCATCTCAAGTCCCTAGGGAATGTCCTGGGGTGGGAAAGAAGACAGAAGCAAGAAGTATAGGAAAGCAGACAGGGTCACACATGGATGGGGCATGGAGGGCGGAATGGTGGCTGGGAAAGACTGAAGAGGGTTTGTGGGGCTGAGAGGAGGGACCTGAAGGAGGATGTGGTGAGCAGACGTGTACATGGGAAGGGGGCAGTGGTTGTGGAGATGGCTGGGGAGTGGGGGAACGGGGTCCAGGAGTGGGCACTGGCAGTCGGAACATCCAGAAGTGAGCAGTGCCCATCATGGACTGGGTGGTTGGGGAGTGGGAGGGACCTTGTGTCAGAGGAGGGGTCTTTGTGAGCGTGCAGCAGTGAGGAATGCTCCGCCATGAATACTAAGGGGAGGAAGAAGAGAAAGGGCCAGAGGGGGCTGGGTGATGTTTAGCTGCTGGGGTGATTAATGGGGGTGAACGGAGGGTGAAACTCAAACCTTTCCAATGAAGATGGCGGGGAACGGTGGTCCAGGAACAACAGTGCACTGTTTTGTGGAGAAAGCCAATGTCCAGGGAGGGGTGGCTGAGGAGGATGCCGGGTGAGGAGGATGCCGGGTGAGGAGGATGCCAGGCGCAGGTGCTCCTTCCCTTTTTTCCCAAGTTCTCTTTATTTACCATCAAACAGTAAATGAGACTATATTAGCCAGTTCCAGGGGACCCTCTGGATGGGCTTCCTACCTGCCTCCTGGCTTGGGAGAGACCAAGGAATGCTGGCGTGGCTTGGGGAAAGAATGAGTGAGGCCTGGGTTGAAAGTTGAGATGACTCCATGGACTACCCCCTGGTGGGGCACAAAATGGTGGTGTGCTGGCAAAGCCACTGGCTCCCTCTGGACCAGAAAGGCACTGAGAGAGACATGGGGGTTGGGAACCCAGATGTCCTGTAGAAAGCGATAGTGTCCTAAGAACGAAGTTTTTAGAGCAGCCCGGGCCTCAGGGAGGAAGGCAGGGGCTCCTTCTCTGTGAGAGAGTGAGTTGGGGGAACAAGGAGGGAGGGCTTCTCATGGCCCTGATTTCAGGATGTTGACCTGGGTTTGAAGAACGGAGATAAAACTTGTGGGAAGTAACAGGCTTAAGCCACTCTCCCCTCATTTCCTACTTCTATCTCTTCCTCTAGGTACAGCTGTTGGGAGCTGCCTCTCCTGCCCTCAATCTCCCTGCCTGTGGTTCAGAGGGAAGAAAAGGGGAAAAAAGGATGAAGAGAATTATCTCAGTGCTGGTGGAAGTGAGCTTATAGCAGCGATTTAGATGGAAATTACCTCATGGGATAGGAGCAATTTTCTCCCTCTCCAGGCCCCTTACAGATGTGAAACAACCGGCGGATCCCACTCTCCCCACCAACCATCTGAGGTCCCACTCTCCCACCCCTAACCATCCAAGGTCCCACTCCCCCACCCCTAACCATCCGAGGTACCATTCCCCCACCCCTAACCATCCGAGGTCTCACTCCCCAACCAACCATCCAAGGTCCCACTTTCCCCCCACCAGCCATCTGAGGTCCCACTCTCCCCCCCCTGCCATCCAAGGACACGATGTGTCTTGAACCTGTACCTCTTGATTGGGAGGCCAGTGGGGCAAAGAGGTTGGGAGAAGGGGTCAGATGTGTGTTCAGGGGTCCCCAGAGAGTTGAGGGAGGCTAGCATCTCCTTAGGGTAAGAAAGGTGAAATGCCCCTTGCTGATCCTAAGATCGCTTAGGTAGTGTGCCTGGGAATCCTCCCACCTGGCCTTCACTCCTGTCTCCACACACAGCTTGGCCAAGTTTCTTCCCCTGTTGGAGTCTCACTCCCAATCCCCTACTCTATCTCTCCGGGAGTCTACAAAGCACTTGGAAATCTGAAGTTAGTGGGAGGTGGCTGTATTGCACAAATACTCTGAGGTGCCACACGACTTGACTGGTAATGAGGCAATTGTCCCACACAGGGCCAAGTTCAAGGACTGCCTTCAAGAGGGGCTGGCCTCAGTTTGCCTGTTACAGAAGCTGAGGGCTAACAGAGGCTGCCCTCTGCCTCACAAAGAAGGAGATAAATGGGTCCACTGGCAAGCAATGGTCACAATCAAGTCTTTATTATGAATTAATAATTCATAATTACTCCAGACTTGCAGATAAGCACAAGCCTACTGAGATTATTTCCCAGTGACGAACACAGTCAGAAACAGTGGGAAGGGGACTTCAGGTCAGACATTACTTCCAGAGGTCGTTAAATTCCTTCCTCTGCTTCCCAACCAGAACCTGGAAGAGATTCATTAGCTTCCTTGGTTGATTCCTCCTAACAGCTACCATCCCCTGAGCTTCTAACCAGGGCCATATTGCCCCTCTGTTCTTCCTAAGGCCAGAGGACCATCCCTGCCAAAATGACCTTAGAGCCTGGACTCTGGATTTCTGGGGTCTCTCTGGATTTCTGGGGTCTCTCTGCTCTCCATTCTGCTATTTACATATGAGGTCCCCTGAAGGAGGGCCTGGTGTTAGGTGTCCCAGGGAGATAACATCTTTCCGGCTCTTCTACCTCTCCCTTACCTAAGTCCCCACATTGTTGGAGAACACCTCTCTAAATCTATGTAGGAACAGAAGCAGGGAGTGCCCCTTCTAGTGTGGATGCCTTTGGTTCCCGGATCTGGATTTGAGGGGATGGCTCTATCTCGAAAGAAGACATCTACCTAGCATCGACAACGGAGATGGGGCCTAAATAGGGCTAGGGAGGCACACCCAATTCCAGACTCAGCCTGCTGTTCCCCTTCCCAGTGCACACAATCCCAAATTCCACTCCAGAAAATTTTAAAAAAACATATCTTAAAAAATACTAAAAGACCCAAGCAGACCCTCAGCTTCAAGGTATCTCCTCTTCTCTCTCTCGAGAAATTTAAAAAGGAGTGAGTTTTGTTTCTCCAAGTACTCAGAGCCTTAGACCACAAAGGGGCCTTATTTCCTAGTCTCTAGGAGGTCCTTGAGCACCATCTCTGCTGTGGCACGACCTTCTTCAAAATGCTAGAAGGAAGAAGGACTGGCTCCTGGACCAAGGGGATTTGAAATTAGAAAGGACTTCCAATTCCAAATCTACAGACTTCCTTCCCATCAGCCTCTGCATGTGCATCAAATGTAAATGGCAGGCTAAACCTACCAGTTGAAGAGAGTTGAAGGACTGGGACCTAAAAATACCCTTGTCCAAATCTGTGAGTAAAGGAGCACACTGAACAGCAGCTACTCAGCCTGGCAGTGTGGCGCATGCCGGCAGTCTCACATATTTGGGAGGCTGAAATGGAAGAACTACTTGAGCCCAGGAGTTTGATTGAGGCTTCAGTGAATTATGATGGTGCCATGACACTCCAACCTGGGTAACAGAGATGGACCCCACTTCAAAAAAAGAAAAAAAAAAGTAGTTACCCAGGTAAGGTGGATGATGGCACCAAACTCTCTCCCTTACCTGGACCATTTCCGGTCTCAAGAGGAGGATCAGTCAGGCAGATGACCCAAGTTACCCAGATCATTAACTGTGGAAGCAAGAGATTTTTTTTTTTTTTTTAATGCCATTCCTTTGGCCTCTAAATATGAGAGATCTTTACAACTCTTTCCTAGCTCCCTCCTATTCTCTACCCTCTCCCCAACACGCACGCAAATCCTAGCAACAAAAACTCCTAAATATAGGACAAACCTTCATGACCTATCATTTTGGCCCACCTGCAACCCCTGTCCCCCGGCCCCCCCCGCCCCGCATTTTTTTTTCTCTTCTGAGCCTCTACTCTTCGATTCTAAAAAAAAAAAAAAAAAAAAAACGAAGAAGAAGGAATTTTCAATAGTCCCACTTGTCAAGCAAAGACCATCTTTTAACCTTCAACAGCAGCGAAAGCCGTGTGAACTCTCGGTGAACCAAGATTGAAGTCATAAATCACGCGTACAAAGGCGGCTGCGGAGGCTGGCGCGGGCTGCTGCACCTTTAACGCTTTCTGGGGCTGACAGGCGGCGGCCCAGCTAAAGTTCACAGCGCCCGGGGAGGGCCCGCCCCCGCCTCCCGGCCCGCCCCTGCCTCCCCTCCCCCAGCCCGGCCCCGGCTCCGGCCCCCGGCCCGGCCCGCAGCTCGGCAGCCGGAGCTGCGCACGGAGGAGGCCCCTTGGCTGTTCCCGCAAAGGGCGGGGGACACATTTTCTCTCTTGCCAGCCCGCTCGATCCGGGTCGTTTATTCCCTGCCTCCCCTCACCCTTCATCCCCACAGCCTGCTGTATGTAAATAGGCAAATAGATCTACACGGACACAATAATTTAGCTTGTTTGGTCTTTGGTATTTTCTACAAGACCCCAAGAGATGGACTTTTCTCTCCCCTTCCTCCTTTTAGAACTGGCATCCTTCATCTCTGTCTATGCAGGCCCAATTATCCAGATCCTTGGGGCTCCAATAGGGTCTGAGTCATAGGAACCAGGAACACCTGGCTGAAACATGCCACATAATTAGATTTTCTTTTTCTTTACCTTTTCTTTTCGTTCTTTTTTTTTTTAATTTTTAATTTTTTTTTTCCACTAAGAGGGCTGGAATTAGCTTCCTCGACTGGGGCGGAGTGGCTGGGGTGGGGGACAGGGGCACTTTTGCACGAAGTCCAGCTTTCAGCTCCTTGGAGCGATCTCCAAGTTCCCCCGAGCCGGGACTTCCTTTCCTCGGCCTCTCGGCCCCCTCCTCCTCCTTCTCCGATCGTTTTTTTTTTTTTTTTTTTTTCCTCCCCCCACTGTCTTCTCTACGATTTAATTAAAGTTCAGCGACTCCACTTGCCTCTCCTCTCATTTCTTTCGGAAAGCGGAAACCAGGCGACCCAGCAGCCACCGGCCCAGCCGCCCCAGCTCAACCCCAGCAGGACGCAGGAGGGGCCTCCCTCGCCCGCCTCCCTCCGCCGGCGCTGGCTTCCCGGACCCGGGTCTGCAGTCCCTCCGCCATCCCGCAGGTGTGCAGCCGCTTGGCCTGGGGGATCCGAATGACTGGGGCTGAATAGGAATGTCTTCGTGTTTCCCCAGACCCCGGGCCTGCTCCGCAAAGTTTGGAGGGTGGGTACACCCCAACCCAGGCAAGTTGCTCCCCCAAAATCCATGACTGACTGATCTGATGTGACAAAAGCCCGTGATGGATTTGGTATATGTTAATTCACAATGCCCTTTCCTCCAGAATTTAACTATAAGTTAATACACACCGGAAACCACGCGCATACACGCTCCTTAATGGGCTTAGGTATTAGCGAGTCCTAACGATGCATACAAATGTGCTCTGCGCTCTGTAGGCCCCTCAAGATTTATGGGCCTTGAGCTCTCTGAAGCTGTAAACAAGGAGGGAAAAAAAAAAGAGAAAGCGAAAGAGACTGAGGGGAAGAGACAGAGGCCTAACTCGCCCCTCCAGGTTGTGGGAGAGAAGGGATTCTTTACGTATTTTCCTTTCCTTGCAAGCTCGGTGCGTGTGGGTTTTGGCGTCGGTCTGGGGGTGGTGTTCTGCCTGAATGCTGGCGTGCGTGGGCAGTGTGTTCTTTGCGTGCTAGGATAGGATGCCTGCCTCTTTGGATTGCTGTGCAGGGGCCTGAACATAGCAGGCATTTGTGAGCATATATGCGTGAGTGCGTGCACGGTGTTAGGGTGTGTGTGTGTGTGTGAGAGAGAGAGAGAGAGAGAGACAGGCAGGCTTCCCTCTGGGCCAGGCTGCTGTCCCCTGAACTTGGTGAACAAATCTCTAACAACAATCGTAATAACAATAAATAACGAATAATAATAATAAAACAGTAGTTAACAGTCCCTGCATAACAGGATAACAAAAAAATGCAAGAAGAAATATTTTGAGGAGGGGACAGAGGAAGAAGTCAGGATCACAACATCTGAGAGGGAGATAGGAAAGGACGGGAGGAAGTAAGCTTCTTAATATGCTCTTGGGGAGCTGCGGTTGGGAACCCCTTTCCCGGACAAGGGACAAAAGAGGAGAAGGAGAGCCAGGAGTCTACTATTTATTGCTTTTTTTTCTGGGCCTTTTTCTTTGTGTGATCAGGGAAGGGATCCCACATATGGGGGTGGTTAATGGTTTTTGGGACTCTCTGGGAGCCCCTATTTTAAGGAGGAGGCCAAATGTGCAGGGTCAGGCCAAGGGGCAGAGATGAATGAGGCGATGACCACAGACTTGATCCGGCAAGAGCGCAGAAATGCCCGGGAGGACGAGCCCCCAGGGCCCGGACGGAAGCAGAAAAACATTTATGGCCGCCGGGGAGTGGGGAGAGCCAGACTGGGGCTCCAGCAGGCCCAGGGCAAGTTCCCTTTCTAGGGTCTTTATTAAAAAATTTAAAAGGAGGAGTTAAGGCGCCTTGAATTTTCCTTCGCGAGCTTGGAACCTAGCCGATTTTTCATGAAGGAAGCAAAGACCACGGTCCCGGATCCTGCAACATCCACCTCTTTCTCTCCAGGTACAGTTTTCTGGTCATTTAATGAGTTTGTTTATTCGGGGAGACGGGAGTCAGAGGCGTAGAGATACTAAGTTTGCTGGAGAGGAAGCCGCCCCACAGTTTCGGGTCTAACGAAATCCCTCCTTTAAAAACAATTGTACCAAGAAAAATAAAATCAAAGAGGAATATAGAAACACAAATTAGCCAACTTTTTTTAAAAGACAAGAAAAGAAAATCATCGTAACAAATGAGCGTGAGAACTTATAAAAGATTTGTCAGAAACCCTTTCAGAGGTTTGGATTCTTTTTCAGAAGCCGGTGACCCATTTGGTCTGAAAAGAGAAATACACTATCCACCGAGTCACTTATTTAAAGCCAGCACACACACTCATTCGAGAAAGCTCTGGGTGTCCTCGCATTTGAGAACACCGGGTTAAGGACGCTGCGATACCTAATGGGACAAAACAGCAATAAAATAAGACCAGTGGACGAGCTGAGCGCAGAGCGCGGGGCGAGGGCCCAGGTTTTGTGTTCCAGGCCGCCGACGAGCAGCGGCCCGGGGCGATGGGGCGCGGGGCGGTCAGATACCGGCTGGCGACTCCGCTCGGCCTCCGCAGCCCGGCCTGCAGCCCCGGGCCCCCAGCCTCCGAGCCTCGCGGGCTCTCTCCGCTCCGACGCCTGATCGGGGCTTCCCTGGTGAGAGGGTTTTGGGCCGGAGAAGTGCCGAACGACTCAAGCCAGACTATGCTTTTTCATTTTTCTCCTTTAGGCCTCTCCGCTGGCCGGAGCTCTCAGCCACCAGGAGACTGACGGAAGGGGCTTCTGAGCTGCGTTGGGAGCGGGCACTGTCCCCCACCCACTCCTGCTCGGTTTCCCAAAGTCCGGCGACCTCCGACCCTCCTTGGAGGGAAAATACCAGCACCCAGATACCTCTGCACCCTGTTAGATGACTGGGCGTGCTTCAGGAATATCTTACAAAGAAGAAGAAGAAAGAACGGCTTGGAGTCGTGTTTACATCTAGTTCTACTGATCCGTTCACATCTGGAGAGTTTATTTATAACTCCCTCTATAACTCTCTGTTTGGAGGCACTGGTGGCTCTACTGACAGACTGATGTCTAGAAAATATTGCTGTATCTCTAACCATACCTAAATGTGCTGTGGTTGTATTTACAGATTTATGTTTGAGGAAAATATAATTATTTCCATTGTATTTGTGCATATACAGGAGTTATAGGAGCAGATTTATATATGGGAAAATATACGACTGTCTTACAGCCATCCGGCTTTATGTGCGCTTGATCTCCTGACAGATTTATATCTCTGAACAGCTATATAGATAAAAATGTATATTGTTAGAATTATGTATCAGGAGATATATACTTATTGATTGTGATATAGAGTAGTTAGAGCATTCACTTAGAGCCATATATGGCGATAGAGATATTTCTATATTATTATCGCTATATATAGGCATATCTATTTATAACTACATAGTTATAAAAATAGACATAAGTCATTATAGTCCTATATGTACATGCTGCAATCTCTCTCTAGAGTTACAGACACTTTCAAATATAACTCTATAGTGAGATTTGTATGTATATTATGTATAATTATCTTGTGATGTGTGCACGTTGGGACTTAGGCCAGTCTATCTCAGAACAGGCGTATTTATCTGTAGGGGCTGGGAGAGACTTGTTCACAGATATCTGCGGGGGGGCCGGCTAGAAACGCTGTATCTGCCCTCTAGGTAAGCAGCTAGCAGAGTTCTGTACTTACGGAGGGATGGAGCTGCAAAACGGGAAATAGAGCTCAGGGAGCCTCCAGGAAGGGAGGTAAATGGAGGGTGGGTGGGCTCGGATGAACTGATCGCAGGAGGAAAGGGGTAAACACTAGCACCCACCAAAAGGTGAGAACCGGTTTTCTGAGGGGCTGGCGCAGGCGGCTGTGGTCGAGGAGCTTGGGAAAGGGGAAGCTGCAAAAACTCCAGCCTCCCCACCCTGAGACTAGGTCCACCGAGGAAGCAGCCTTCAGTTGGGCTCTTAGTGCACTGAAGGATAGGGACTGCCGTGCCCCTCCTGCAGTCCTAGCTCGTTTCTCTTAAACCCTAATTTTTAGGTCTCAAAGAGTGGGCTTCAGAGATAAACAGGTTTAGGCAGGGACAGGGCGGGGAGCATGGAGTACACTTTCGCTTTCTGATAAGTGAGGTAATCCAGGAGAGTGAGTTCATTTGGCCAAATAAAGCCTGTTTTTATCTGGGCCTCCTGTGCCCTGGCAGGGATGCAGGATGGGACCGGAGACCTTGTGGACTGAGGAGTGAATTTGCAAGAGCTGGGCCTGCTCTGATGGGGGATTGGGGAGCTTGTCCTCACCACCTGCCCTCCTTCTCTGAGGCCTGAGTGGCCTAATTCCCTCTGGGTACAGAGGGACTCCTCCAGCTCTCTAACCGTGCTGCCCTGAACCTTTTCGGGGAGAATTTGACTTTAGAAACAGGGCACATGGGCTTACCCCACTAGATCTTACTTCTCCACTCACAGCTACACCAACCACTCTTGCACCGGCCCCCTTCTAGACCCCACTGGGCCAAGACTCCCCAATTCTCACCCCCGCTACCAACCAACTCAGGGGGGAAATACCTCCCACCACCGCCAGTATTTGTTTTTGTTTTTTAATCAGGGAGTCACAGATAACTTTGTTGAATGTGCGAAGGAGTTGTCCTGAACTCAGTCTCAGCGGCCAGCCTGCTCCTTCCCCCATCTCTAGGATGCTGGGAAGGCAGTGGAGACTCTTGGACTGGGGCTAACCACCATGTGCCACGGTCCACACACCCCTGCCCACAGGACTAGGAAGTCCTGCAGTGCAGGGACTCTGTCTGCTGCCTGGCACAGTGCGGTTGCCCAAACATACTTGTTGAGGTAAACGGAAGGGCAATCAACATGAAAACTCACCCTCACTCTGCACACCACTGTGGCTAGCAGGCACCTGGATACCCGGGCTGCAGGGACCCTAGCCAGGCTGGGGGATAACATGGAAGCTGGCAGCAGCTTGGGCTCTGATGGGACCTGTGGGTAGTAGGGTGGGAGACCAGCCTGGGCCTAGGATGGGGCGGAGGCTGGAGCGAGGCGCCTGAAGTCTGGAAATGTGAAGGTAAGCCAAGGCAGACCCACCTCCCCAGTGTACTTCTGCTTTCTATTTCCAGTCTCCCGGCCCCCTGAATCCCCAGCCTATGAAAACTAAACCAGAGCTGAGACCTGGGCTAGGAAGGAATTGTCTGTCAACCCGAGGGGTGCAAAGAGGAACCACCACTGGGTCCATTAAGAAATCCACAAATTGGCCGGGCGCGGTGGCTCAAGCCTGTAATCCCAGCACTTTGGGAGGCCGAGGCGGGTGGATCACGAGGTCAAGAGATCGAGACAATGCTGGTCAACATGGTGAAACCCCGTCTCTACTAAAAATACAAAAAATTATCTGGGCATGGTGGCGCGTGCCTGTAATCCCAGCTACTTGGGAGGCTGAGGCAGGAGAATTGCCTGAACCCAGGAGGCGGAGGTTGCGGTGAGCCGAGATCGCGCCATTGCACTCTAGCCTGGGTAACATGAGTGAAACTCCGTCTCAAAAAAAAAAAAAAAAAGAAATCCACAAATAAAACAAAAATAAATCAGTGCGAGACAGCCAGCCTGGCTAAAGGAAAGCTTTCTCTCTATGACTCAGCCCTGCTCCAGGGCTACCAAACAGATCAGGCTTAATATTTAAAATGTTTAATTTAATAGTAAAATATGTATACACACACACACACACACACACACACACACACACACATATATATTTTAGACGGAGTCTTTCTCGGTAGCCCAGGCTGGAGTATATCGGCGCTGTCTTGGTTCACTGCAACCTCTGCCTCCTGGGTTCAAGCGATTCTCCTGCCTCAGCCTCCCGAGTAGCTGGAATTACAGGCATGCGCCATCATACTCAGCTAATTTTTTGTATTTTTAGTAGAGATGGGGTTTCACCATGTTGGCCAGGCTGGTCTCGAACTCCTGACCTCGTGATCCACCTGCCTCGGCCTCCCAAAGTGCTGGGATTACAAACGTGAGCCACCGCGTCGCCAATAGTAAAATATTTTTTAAAATTTAATGTTAAAAAGGTCACAGATTTTCTGATCCAGTAATGCCTCTAATCAGATTATTTCTTTTTTTTTTTTTTTTTTTTTTTTTTTTTTTCACCAGTGTACCCTTTTTGGTTCCTGTGAAATAGTTCCTTTCAGGAGTTTGGAGCTAGGCCAGGCACTGTTGGTGAATGGGGCAGGTTTGGAGTTCCTCTGCCTAGTGTGGACCCCGGTCTGCAGAGAAGGGTTGGTCTCCCCTTCTCCCATCAAGGCTTAAGCAAGGAGGACCCTGCCAAATTTGGCTCCTTTTCCCCTAAGAATCCTTAGGGGCAATGCACCATGTGACTAGGTGACTAGGTGAAGGACTGAGGTCCAGAGAGGAGCTATCTTAAACCTGGAATCCCATTTCCTAGTCTGTAGCCTTTGGCAGTTTCCCTCTTAGACAGCTAGCCCTCTCCTTTCTCCTCATGAATACCTTTGGCCTACAGGCACGGTTGTTGCTTTCCCTAAAGAAATGCAGGGAGGGAAAACCGATGGTCCTACATTTACATATATTTGCCTAAGAAGGGCTCAGGGCAGGTGCCTGGGCTCTGGCTAGAAGTAGGGGGGTGGAGGGGGTTGCTTACAGTTGCTGTAAACAGCAGATTACAATGGTGGCCAGGGTCTGTTGGTTTGCCCTCAGCCAAAAGAGTCCTGGGTCCCTTTTACCTGGGGTGGAATGGCTCTTAGCCGTTTCTGGGTCCCAGACCCCTTTGAGAAACTGACAAAAACAATTGGCTCACTTCCTAGCAAAATGCTGGAAGTGCCCTTGACAATTGCAGGAGTCCTAGAAACCTATGCTATCTAGATGGAGTATCCCTATTTTGTGTATTTCTCCTTTGTTTCTGTGACCCAACCTCTCCCTAATTGTCTGCCTTTGCTTTTGCCCTCCCTAAATTCCCTTGCTTGGAAATCAAGAAGTTATTTCCTAAGTATAACCCCCGTTATTCTGGGCAGAGCTCCTTTGCTTCATTTCTTTGCTAGAGCAGGCACCTGGCAGAGACCTTGCGAGCTTCTGTTGAGCTGTTCGGTTCTCCTTCTGCAGAAAGCAGGAGAATGGCTGTTAACTGAAGCCTAGTCTATATTGCCCAATTACTTGACTGATTACGGGTGGCGGTGGGGGGGTGGTGCTGGGGGTTGTTGGCAGCTGCAGAGGCCTGGCTGTAAGGGGGTCAATTCCCATCTTTAGTGGAAACTCGGAGCAGGAAGCAAGTTGCAATTGCTATTACAGTCATAATAATAACAATAATAATTTATTTAGCATATCATTAGATGTGTATTTACTGTCTTCCCTCTGCTTTTTTACAAGTGTCTCCTAAGGAATTTTCACAACACCCAGGGGAAACAATAATAAGCTAATTACCACCTTTCATTTCCTTCTCCTCCTCCCATCCACAAAGCCCCCCTCTCAAGATGGAGCGTTTACAGAACCCCTTCCTGTGTTTTACACCTGCTTAACACATTCTCTCCCTTCCCAATTCTCCTCTCTCACTCCCAGTTTTTCCAACCTTGTTAAGGAAGTTTCCCCATAATTCAGAGGAGGAAAGTTTAGTAAAGGCCCAGAGAGACCCACTTGGTTGTAGTTGTAAGTATTAATATTATTTCCCTGATATCACAGCAATATTTAGGGTAATGTAGGAGGAACCAGGTTCTCACTTCTCTGGCTGCTCTTTTTAGGGTAGAATCTGCCTACACAGGGTTTAGGTACAGACTGGATTAGAGAGAGAATTTGTGCTGCCATGATGCCAAAACATCCTGAGTCAAAAAACATCAGTAGGAAAGTGTCCAGTCCCGCAGATGTAGCATCCACGCTGGTGGCCCTCAGCCTGTTCTGGTCAGATCTCAGAGAAGCCAATTCTCACATATCTCATTGGCCTCTTTTGGCAATGAAAGAAAGGAAGGAAGGAAAGGAGGGAGGGAGGGAAGAATATGTCCGTGTGTGGTGTGAGTGTGTGTGTCTGTACACACATAAATACATATTCAATTTTCACACACACATTTTTTTCCTTAGTAAATAACCATGACAATGGTTATACTTTTTCAAATATTCATTTCTTTGCACTTTCAAATATATATTTATATCTCCTCAGAGATTACAATTAAAACACAAACCAGGGAGCTGCGGTGGCTCAGGTCTGTTTCTCTGGTTCTTGAGGAGGTGAAGCTATGCGTTTGAGGCCAGCCTGGGCAACAATAAAAAAAAAAAAAAAAAACCTCTCATCCATTAAAACACACACACACACACACACACACACACACACACACACACACCAGTCACATGTGTTTGGATGATGAATTCTGGGTGGACTTTTGGACCAGCTAAAAGACCCTCTAGAGTCCCAGCGATTTGCAGAGCACACTCTTAGTTACTGATTTGTAGCTGCTGTCATGATAGTGTTGGTCAGAGACAGAGCTGCTTGGTCTCAGTCATTGAGATCCTGGGCATCGCTGCTCAGAGTACCCAGACACTAGGATTGCCTCTCTACCTCTTCCCCAAGTACGTCATTGCTCTCGGGAGGAAGCAAGTCTGCACTGGAAGGTACAAGAGCCAGGTAGAGTCAATGTCAAGGTGAACTGAAAGTCAGTATTGACTCCACGTCTTAGCTCCCTAAATCACAGATGGCCCAGCTGACGTTCTTAGTAGGTCCCATGCCCATTTGGTGTCTTTCTGCTGCCCATACGTTCCCACTGTATGCCTCCTGAAAGGAAGAGGCCTGTGCTCTGGGCCTTTAAGATCTCTAGTCCTATCAAAGCTTACTTGTCCTGAGTACCAGACCATTCTTCTTTATTGAAGAAGAGGCTAGATTGCAGGTTAGGGAACTTTCACCTATGTGTTGACCTGCACATTCTCCCAGGCAACTGTGTGCTTTTCGGTAGGGGTCTTCAGAAGCCATCGCCCAGATGGAGGGAAATATCTATAATAATGGAGTTTTAGACCCATATGGCAGGTAGCATAATACAAATTTGGGTGAATGTGATTTATAATTTTTCTTAAATCTTGTCATGAAGGCAGGTGCCCATCCTGTCTGTGGGTAAGGCCAACCTTGCCCCAAACGTAGTTTCCAGGCTGCTAGGAGGGGTACAGGACTCTTTCTGCTTCTTTTACTGGCAGATCCTGAAAGGTAAGATTAAGTTGGGAAGAAACAAGATTCACTCAGGTAAGAAAAAGATTATGCGTACATTTTTCAGGGTCTGGACTTCTGATTTGCTCTGACCATGGTGGCCATTGATTGTATGGCTTAGTGCCAATTCATGAATGGTGTCCTGAAGCTCCCTCGGTACTCATAACTATAATAGTTTCCATTTGTAGAAGATTACTACATGCCAGTTGCTTTATACCGAATTTGATGAGGAAATGTATTCTCAGAAAGGTTAAGTCACCTGCCCAAGGTCGCATAACCAGATTTGAACCTTGGCAGTGTGTTTCCCTATCTGCTAGGTTTTAATACTTTCAAATCATGACTTATGGGTTAGATATACAGCAGATAATCATAGAAATGAAATGGATTTTTCCCCTTCTGGAATAGTTTTATGTCCTCTGGACATACAGGGGGCTCCGTGAGGCACTTCTACACTGGCTTCTATAGTGGCTGACCCAAATGCATGTATATTATCAGAATTTCCATCGCCCAATCTCAGTTTTACTGGCAGCCTCTGTGAGTTTTCAGTGTGATAACTACCCTCACCACTTAGAGTCCACTCATTTCCCAAGACTAGAAATACACTCATAATTGCAGGCATCTGGTTTCTAGGGGAGTCCTTGAGTTCCCACTTCCTCAGGCAGAATCTAGCTTTCCCACAAGGGTCAGGTAATGCAAAGCTGAGAAGTATCTAGAGATTAATCTTCAGAGCCCCTCATCTCCCTGAGCATCCCCCCTAAGCACTACTTTTCTGGCTCTATCCTTGTTTGATGAAGTATCCCAGTGGTGCTTTTGTATTTTAAAGGATGTGATCTGCAGAGGACTGTACTTAACACCATGTGCTTTAATGGTGGAACTTAAGGCATTTCTGTGGCAGGATAATTGGGGAGGGGGAAACAGATCCTTCCCAGGGGGCTTTAAACTGAATCACTGCAAAAGGCTGATCCTGCATCTCATTATCCATTACATCAGATGAAAGCTACAAAATTGGATCCCTTTATTCTATTTGAAACTAAGCAGATAGTGGGCTGATTTCTCTTTTCACCT